TGAAGGATGTATGTGCTGTTTTTGGTTTGTGCTATTATAAATAAAGCACCCTCATACATGTGGCAGTTGTTATTTCTCTGTGATAAATTGCCAGGAGAACAAATGCTAGGTCACCATGTTTAACTTTTTGCAAAACTGCCAAACTAATTTCCAGAGTAGCTACCCCTGTACATTTTAAATTTCCATCAAAAACAGTTGACTATAAACTCATCTTAACTTTTAAAATATTTTCTATAAGACTGAAAATACAAGATTAAGTCCCTTAAATACTATAAACTAAACAGACTACTTCTAATAAAAATCTGTAATTATATATAATCTGTATATTAGTAACTGTTGACATAGAGCTAATTACAAAAAAAAATTGTAAAAGTTTGCCTTCTTCCAGATAGTCCATAAAAAATAAAGGTTTAACAGCATTTTCTATTAGTTTTATGAAATGTGATCACAATACCTCGATATACAGTATCATCAAAAGATAATTGTTTACCTGATACTTGGTAAAACAATTTGAGAAAAAAAAACCTGAGTTAAAGCTACAGTCATCTGGGTATAAGGTTTGTAATTTCATGGGTTTTTGTGTTAAAACTGACAATTACATAATACAGTCTCTTTTGGGCTCTTAAAACAAGGAACTAAGTCTAGAGCAGAGGTTATCTATCTGTTCAAATGCTCACAGCAACTAGTCAGCCAGTCCACAAAGAGAAAATTAATGCCCAGAAAAAAAAATCAGAAGGCCCCCAAAAGAATGGGCTGCCCTCATTCCTAGTGACTTTACAGTTCTTAATGTCAGTCTCTTGTGCAACCATTTCATCGCTGACTCTGAGCTATATAAGATACATATTTCTAAACCAGGCATCATGGGGCACACCTGTAATCCCAGCACTTGGAGGTCTAAGGCAGGAGGATCATCAAGTTCAAGACCAGCCTGGGCTACCTAGTCAGTTCAAGGTCAGCCTAAACTGCAGTGAGACCCTGTTTCAAGAAAAAAAAAAAAAAAAAAAGACATTATTTCCTTTCAATATAAATACATTTACTTTAAAAGTATGACAGAAAATTCTCAAATGTCAAGCTAATTATAATTACTCTGTGATTTACCTATATGATTTTCATCTAAGGTATCTTCTTACTGTATAAGGCAACTGAAAAACATGTTGGTACACAAATATGTTTAATATTCATGCTACATACCTGCCAGTGTGTAAAAGTGTCTATCTTAGTTTTCAAATTCTAGAGTCCTGGCAGCCATCCTTTGGGCCAGAGATCCAAGCAGAGACATGAGTTACTGCAAACACCCATCAAAATCCAAAGACAGTCACAGTCTACCTAACGATGCATCAGTTAACAATTGCCTGCCACATAACGGTTAACAATGGACCACACAGAAGATTGCATAGACAAGTGTTGCCATAAGATTCTAAGATATGTAACACCTAGTGATGTGGTAGCAGTCAGTAGTGTACACTCCACAATGCTCACACACTGCCTAACAAGTCGTTCTCATTTCTCCAAGCATGCCTAGGAGTGGTGCACAACCATTACCTAAATACTAAATAAATGATTCAGAACGTGAATTTTTCCTAGCCAACAAAGATGCTATAGCTAATAAAATTCTTAATAAATTTCCTGAAGAATATTAGCAAAAGTTTCTTGCCATTAGTATTTAATGAATATTAAAAACCTAACACCTACTATGTGGGGAGCACAGCTCATACCTCTCTAGACTCTCAAGAGCTTTTCCTTTTTTAAAGTGATGCCTATATGCCACACAGAACAAGACAACACAGGAGTGTGAGAGCAAAGATTTAAGACAACATTGGGAGAACTGAAGCAAGAATAACTGGCAAAGAATGAGAAACTAGAGTCATTCATAGGAAAATGGATGCATATTGAGGCCATACTCTTAAGTGAAATAACACACACATGTCAATACCGAATAGTTTCTCTGGTGCAAAAAACTAAAAGTGTAAATAAACTCCAAACTGTGTAACTGATAATGTGAAATAAGAAGGGCTAAAGGTGTAGGGGAAGTGGGAAGGGTAGGGGAAAGGAAATAAAGGAAAAGAAAAAATATGAGAAAAGGAAAAAATGGAAACAAGGTTTTTGTAAAGAGGGAAGGGTGGAGGGTGTGAAGGGAGGGCAGGGGTATGGGGAAAAAATGAGAACCAAGATCTGTGGTGTAAAGGTTCATGATTCCAATGATGAGTGTAACTGTACTGTATACTTAAAAAGTACCAATAAACTCAATGAGAAAAAAAAAAGAATAACTGGCAAAATGCATGAAATGACTTCAAAACAGCAACCTCACAATGTGGGGTGCTTAGATATTATTTGAGAGCCCAGGGGTAAAAGAATCAAAAGACAGGGCCCTCTTTGCATCTTTAAGTGGGAACATACTCACAAAACCTTGGTGAAAGGGCCAAACATCCTGGAGTATAAATACATCTCAGTTACACCACAGAGCTAAATGCTGTGTCAGGATTCTCTACTCCTTCTAAATGTTGCATCCCTATTAAAGGCTCTGTAGTTTCTACATTTCATCAACAGTGCAGTTTTGCAAATGTGCCTTACACATTGATAGACTTCTCTTATGTGAGGCGCTAGGTAAATGATAGAAGAATACTCCATAGTAATGTCAAATAAAGAAAATTTGCTTCACCAAAGCAATAAGACAGCAAGAATAGACTTGGCACCCAGCACCATTCCTACCAAACAGGCGTATAATCCCTGGTGAATAAATGAGACCATTTCTCCTCACTCTGAAAAATAACCTTGGCATGTAAAATATCCTACCAGTCTGAAAAATATTCCCCAGAGCTATTCACTACCGATCCACTCTCAGAACCCATCAAGACCAGTTTTCACGAAAGCCTCGCTCACTCATACAAAGCGGCAGCATTTAATTCCGCATTGGGTTCCCTGCCTAATATGTGGGGTTAAGAACACTGACACATTTGCATAAATTCAGGAGTCATACTCTTTCAGTTGATGTTAGGTAAATCTCGAAGCTCTGCTTCATTTCCAAATTAGTTTTATTTTTCAAATCAAACAGTTTTAAAGTTTTATTTTCCAAATGAAAGCCCTTTCATACTATATCTTATTAGGGATGCCTCTATGAAAAAAATATATGATTATAAAAATTAAATATTTTTTTTCTGTTCTAGGCATCTGGGACATTCACTTTGTTATTATTTCACATTAGTGCTCAAACTTTTTTTTAAAAGCTGGCCTAGTTCCTTTGAGAAATTTAATTTTAGGGTCTGTCAACATTTTAAATGCACTGCTGTTATTTTTTAAATACATACTTGCATGCTGGAATAAAAACTAGCATAAGCTTTCCATATAACCATCTCCTGGGCTCTTACTAGCTTACTACATGCCAGGCTCTATGCTTAACACGTTACTCCGTTACCTCATTTGTTCAACAAATATCCCCTCATCATTTCTACAGCACTGAGTCTAACAAGAAGCCATTACATTTTAAACCGTTATTTGTACTGTACTGTACTGTATTTGTACTGAGTACTGTACTCAGATGACAGTAACATCTAAAACAAGTTTACTGCTGGTAAATTCAACTTGTGTTACTGTGTTAACACAGAACCTGATCAGCAGTGTTGACAATTCGGGGAACAGCATCTGTGATGGCATCGACAAAGAAGGTTATTAAGTGGCTGGAGTACTTGCGTTACATTCCCTTCCACAGGCGAGCAGATGCACATGACTTTATCTACCCAGAAATTTAATTCCAATTACTGTGCTATTTTGAACCACATAAACGTAACCTGCATAAAATGACCAGATAAAGCACCCTTGCTTCCTTCTAAAACTACTTTATCATTGTACGTTAAATTATTCCCCAAAGTGTTATGTTAAGCATGTCATAAAGTCAGGTGTCTTCATTGTGGACTCTTAAAAATAAATACTGTCCTACATCGTTTTTTCACTTTACTGAATTCGACTCAACCGGGGGGCAATTCGGTGATAAAATATATAAACATAACTAATGAAGCTCTTCAGCGGTTCCCCAAATTTAACCACCATCTTCTCAACAGCAAAACTGGTACTGTTCCAAGAAAGGGAGAGAAAAGACGTTTGTTTGTCTCCTCTCGCAAAGACTGTGGTGCCGTCTCTCTTAACTAACCCACTTAAGGGTGTTGGCAGCCGAAAACGACGAGCTGCCCTTGAAACCACTGCAGCAATAAAGGGGGCCACCCGGCCAGTGCGCGGGGAGCGGAGGAGGGAGCTCGAAGACCCCGCGCGCCGGAGCGCAGGCTGCGGCCA